CCTATATCATACAAAAAATATTTTTTTTAAGATAGATTAATTAGATATATTGTTTTAATAATAAGTTTGAGCGTATATATTACACCTTAAGTATTTATATAAGAAAAAACTAGTTGTTTTAGATTAAGATACAATTGTAAGTACTGTTTTTGTGAGAACTTCAAGTTTACATTTGTGTACATTATCTTAGGGTTATAAATTTAAAAAAAACAACACATTATTTTCCGTCTACAACATCCAAAATTCCAAAATAACTAATGTATCTCTGACAATGCCAACCATAAAGTGTTGGCATTAAAACTTCTTTAACTCAAGTTTTATTTTGTTCAGTTAAAGTTCTCATGAATAGTTACATGTATAAATAAGAATTTATTATGCTCCTAAGAATTAATATTTAATAGACTTGATATCCCTTTTGAGTTATTGACTCGTTTTGAGGAGTATAATATTTAAAATAAGTGAGGTTATTTGAAAATCTAAAAATCAGAATTTGAATTAATTTGTTATTAAATGAAAAAAAAGGGGCGAGGATGCTTAGCGAATCATCCTATATATTTGTTCTAGTATTTGAAATTTTTTCGTGCAATGCATACAATGAAATTGAATGAATTTATTGTAGTCGAATCAAAACTCGGAAGGAAGCTATCAGAGAAAGAGAGAGAGAGAAGGAGATGGTGGGAAAGCGAATATCGGACAAATGAAAATTATTCTCGACGTCTCCGAATCCTGCAATAAGTGCGTATAAACGACGACGGCAATGATAATAATAATATAATACGTTTAAAATTGAGATAGTTCCCGCGCGAAAAAGCAAAGTTGGCAAAATATATTATAATTATACACGCCGTATTCACGGCGATTCATCATTGTTTTTTTTTTACTTTTCATTACCCCGACGTTCCTAGCTTTTAAACTGGGTGGGGAGGGGGAGAGGTTGCAGAATTAAAGAGAATTATTTCCCGACAGTGTGGGATTAATATCCGCGTTAACGGTTCCATTATTGTTGAATATACGAGGGGACGACCTTATTGTCGGCGGAGATGAAAAGTGTATTAGATCATTTCGCTAGCGACGGCGGAGGGCGTCATATTATTATAATCTTCGTCATCGGCATATATAATGCCGGCGCGTCGACGGGTGAAATGCGCGAAAATAATAGGTAGGCAGTGGGTAAAAAAAAAAATTATAATAATAATAAAAAAACGAGCAATTTTTCCGAACACTAATCGTCACGGGGAAGCGGTGTGATAATTAATGGTTAATAGCTTTTCTCCGGAAAACGTATTTTTTTGTCTTGGCGCCCTTCGTTATATTTAAAATCTCACTCACACAAAACAAACTGCAGTGGCGTCGTCGTCGTCGTCGCTCACGCGAATGGCGAGTCACCGCCACTAACGGCGATTGTAGTTACGAAACTTAATTTATTTGAGGGGGTGCAGGGAGAGCGTAAGGATAAACTAAGCTTTAGACTTATAAATTAAGCAAAACCAATCGGAAGTCTGATCTACGCTTTACTGATTAAAATGTAAATTAATATTTTTCGAAAATCGTTTAACATTAATTAAAAGGTACTTCAGAATTATTGTGAAAAGTGAAAACTTAAAAAAAAAAATAATAACGCCAAAATATAATATTTATGAATACTTTTACCGACTACTTACATTTTATGCCTAAAATAATTTAAGACTAAAATCAAATTCTCTAGACAATAATTTAAGCGTTACTACTTACTATCAATATATATTGTGTCCAAATATACAGCCTGCTGCAGGATATTATTTTTTTCATGACTTTTTAAAGTTTTTTTTTTTCCATAATACAATTTAAAGTCTGTTACAATATATAGAACAATAAGTAAAAAATATGGACAATTTAATGGCTTGAAAAAACTGATTTAAGAAGCCTTCCATTAAGGCAACTTTAACAGTTATTTATATATTAATTTATAAACGTTGAAAATAACATTTTTTATAGTTTATTAAAATAATAAATTAATTTACCACAATATTGTGTTTCGTATATGGTTTAATAATGCCATATAAATGGTAAAAGTTCGAAAAATTACAAACATTTTATTTAATGTAATTCAAAAGTATTATTATTTACCTAATATAGATAATATTATAAGTTATGACTGTGCTTAAATTATGTAATAATTGAAATAATATTATTTTTGTATATTGTGATATAAATAATAAAAAATTTACTTTGATTTCTGTTTGAAAAACAGCGTGAGTAGGGTATATAAAAAAAAAATATAGACCTCTCTCTTTCTCTATACCTAGGTAAACCACCGATTCATGTGGTTTACGCGGTATAGCGAAAATTCCTGAAATACAAAGGCTTTACCATTCCCCATTCAGAGTAAGTAGGTGCGTATATGCCACAACGCTAATGATAACACAAGAGAAAAAAGAATCGTAACTATCGTATGACGTGTTTTGCAGACATAGAACAAAATAATAATAATTTATTTCAAAATCGTTTTTTTTGTTAAGTATTACGAAGCACCCACGACCCACAACATTTTCATATTTTTTTTCATACGTTTAACTAGACAGTACCTTTCAATTTTTTATTTTTCATTTATAAAGTATTTCGGTACACCATGTATTAGCGTATGTGTGGCTGAATGACTACCGAAATCATTATATCATAATATATAGTTGATATTACGGTGTTTCATTGTAGCATGCCATAACAGTATTTTATATTTAACAATAGACGTTTTTAATAAAACTCGTTGAAAAAATGAAATTGTGTCGACACGGCCATGGCCTGCGAAACGTTGGAAATAAAAATAAGTTACGAGGTAGTGTGTTCTACAGTGCCAGATCCAGCGAAAATTAATTCCCCTCCCCTTGATTTTCTTTTATCCTATTATTTTGGCACTTAGTACGCAGTGTTGAAATAATATCCTAAGACTATCACTAATGTAAGGATTATAATAATATGGGTAAACGTACTAACAAAACGAGAGAGTAACTATATCCTACAAACATTGTATTATATAGGTAATATACTGGTGTTATCATTACAACTGACACGTTCAAAATATCATAAATTATTATTATAATATACATTGTATACATATTATAATCTTTTTTTTTTTTTGTAAATCAAAAGTTTAAATTTTTGAATAAATAGCCAACGGACACTGTATAAGTGAATATATGCGTATATCGATCATACACAAGACAGTCAAAAAAAGTTGGCAGGAAAAAATGTCAAGAACATTTCAGAAAGGTAAAATGTTTGCGAGACTCAAAATGAAATAATATAGGACTGGCTGTCAAAAATTCAACAATTCATATTATAGAACCATAAAAATATTTTGTGCTTAAATAAAAAACAGTTTATATTGAGCTATTCAAGAAGACGACAAATAAAAAAAAATACACAAGCAAAATAAATTAACAATTTAAAAATGTTTATCAAATGTTATATGTATGAATATAATATGGATAGTATAAAATATTATTAAAAACTTTTTTCATGATTTCTACAAAGAAGAAATATGTCATTTATTTTAAATTAAAAATAACAAAACAGTAAAACAATAATACATAATAATATGATGTTATAAATAGTAATCATTCAATTCAATGGAATATCCTCACAAATATAATATTATTTATGTTCATTCCAGACAAAGCAATTTTAGTTAATTACCATTTCGAAATATGTCAGACAAATTTTAATAAACAACGTCCCTCAATGGTCGTTTATTTCAGCTTCCAATTTGAAAAATGTCAATTGGCAGAGTGATGTATTCCCTATGTATTCCCTATGTATGCACAATTCCAACATACGTGTATAATATAATATTTTGTACTTGTTATTGATTAAAAGAATACATTAATAAAAAACATTAATTTTCGCCAATTTATTTTGATACCATTATGATGGTAGAAAAAAAGCCACTTAATAATTCAGCTTGCGCCTTTTAAAATTAACGAACGGAAATAATATAGCTATATAATTAATAACTAGGTAATAAGTATTATAACATATATACGATTTGCTCTAGATTCAAAAAGTTATAAATGTATTTTAATAATGATACAAACTGAAAATTAACAAAAAAAAACTTTCGAAAACATGCTGCAGAACAATGCAATTCAATATTGTATTATAATATTAAAATATGATGGTCAGCGGTGGTGGCACACACAAATGATAAAGATGTCAAGGTGTCAGCCAATACCCCGCCAAAATGATGAAAACCGATGGTGGTAGTTGTGGTAGAAAATATGTCCTGGACCGCGAAGCTTGTATATTTTATCATAACAACGATACACTATTTTGTCTTATTTTCAGTAGGTAAGTATAGAGTTGAGCATAAAAAATGTACTTGACATCCCTGGAGAATAAAGTGAGTACCTTGGTGACGGACGTCGTTTAGTGCGAATTGAGTTCATCAACCAACTCGAGGTGCTGACGTCTTATAAAATGTCGACGTGATTTATTCTTTTTTTTCATTTCTACCAGTCACATAACAAGATAGGGGAAAATAATATAGATATATTATAATAAATATTATATAACTATACTCGTGTATTTATAATAATATGCTCGGGTCGGGAAAACAAATAATAAGATTTTTTCAGCTAGTTTCGTCTATTGCGTTATATATAAGACAGCTGAGCGTACCGTTATAATGATTTTAGTCTGGAGAAATATAATCTATGTTATGTAAACTACGACGACGAGGACGACGAGACGGAGAAGAACGAAGTGGAGAGCTACAATACAAGGGAAAACAGGAAGAACAGGACAAACAGGATAAAGAATATAGTAGTCGGTTTCAGATATATACAGCTGCAGTAGAGTATATATATACATAATACTAGAATATAATACACACACACACACAGACCACGGCAGGCTGTGGCTTCGAGTCGGCTGCACGGCGCTAGGTCCAATTTGTCGGTGCAAAATGCCGTTCATATTTCATCGGGTCTGAGAGATCCCCGACCAGCGTTATGTATAGGTAGTACCTATAGGGGCGGTGGACCTCGCACCCCCTCCCCACCACCACCGCCGTCATATCGCCGGGGATGACCGGACGACGAGAGAACCTCCGCCCAAGCGCTATCCCCCGAGCAAAAGTCCGGTGCACCGCTACACTCCCATATGTACATGGTATATACCGTACACCTCGATCGGCCAGTATAATGGTATAATGGTGTGCCTGTGCGCCCGTAACGAGTGTGAAAGCTCGAGCTGGTGTGCGTGTTCGAATTTCCGGTGCCCGACCCTGGAGATCCCATCGCCGTAGCCGTCGTGGTAGGAGGGTCGACTACAGCACACGAGCGTTTATTATTTCCGTCGTTCTTCCTGCTTACGTATATCTACTACAGTCGCACCTGTTATTTTTTCTCCGAAATTCGCACGTATATTAGAATTCTCTCATAAAGGTATATAATATATAATTGCATTCAAGTATAATACGCGTTAATGTATGTATGTATGTATGTATGTATATGTGTGTGTGTGTGTGTGTGTGTTTGCAATAAAACTGTATACGCGCGCGCGTACCATACATATTATATAACATATATATAGGAATATAAAGATACATAAAGTGAGCTAAACCCCAAAGGTCGGCCGGCCCAACCGTTTGCGCCGAAAACAGCAATATAATTTCCAAAAGTATAATATATTATATTATTGTGCACGGAGTAGTTATTTTTTCGGCAGACCGTCATTTTCACCTGGGTACTTAGTGTTTTTTTTTCAAAAACGTCTAGTTGTACAAGACTTATTCAATTCATACAACAACGATATTTTAAAAACGACACACATTTACTCTTTGTTTGCGCAGATGCTTAAATATAAGAGTATTATCATAATATGCGTACTATATGGTACACATGCACTAGAAGACGTACGTATTGTGTTATATTGCTATGTGTAATATACTTTCTGACGAAATTGGTAATAGCTGACTTAAATAACAAGAGCCGTAAAAAGTTTTGTTGTTTATGTTTTTATTCTCGATAGTTATACTTATTTTTCAAAACAATTATTATTTAGATTACCGATTGCGATATTTTAGGACAAATTTCGATGAAGAAATTATTGTGCAAGTGGACCATCGGAAAAATTCCAAACGTTTTTTAACAAATATCTCACACATAATACAATTGTTGATAATTATAATCAATCAAGCAATATAAGCACTCATAATATTATTTAAGCAATTATTTCTCTAACCACGCTTTGCTCACCGTTACAGTTGTGAATAATGAACGTCATGTTGAAGTTGAACTATTTACGAGATGTCTAGTACACTATAATAGTATAATATAATGGTATTCGATTGTATACAGGGGAGAACTGGCTAGGTCGGTGGATGGGCGATCCTCGCCTGGGCCTGGCGACAATTTGGATTACTTGATTAAAGTTGGGCAGATAACTTATAAATATTTTATTTCTAGCCCAAACTTGGGTCTAATTTTCTGTTTCCCCGTGGCCATGTATTCCATGTACGCGCTAGATAGTATTGCCATGTAATATCTATGTATTTTATAATTATTTGTAGGTACCTGAAGTTTTCGAGTTGTTTTAAAACTGACAATATTCGATAAGTTTTTTTCTTCATTTCAGACGACATAATATAATATACTTTTTTAATGTGATAAATATATTGTAAATTATTCAATTTATTTGAACCACCAATATCATCATTAGAATTTTATCAACTACTAATAAACTGATTTGGTGATCTGTAAAAAATATTATTATATATCCGATAAATAGTTGAAGAGCAGGGTAGTATATTATATAGCCGAGTTTAGCATTTAAACGTACTCTAAAAAAATTAAAACCATGTACATTAATTTATTATTTAATTTTGTTTTTTTAAAATCATTTTGTTTCTAATGATGTAGAAAATCTTGTTTACGACAATATACGTGGAAAATGTAACAAAATTAATTTGAAAAAAAAAAAAATATTTATTAAATGTTCAAAATTCACTGAAAAAATTGTAACTGAAGTGGTTAATCTTTATGATAATTTAAGGTTTCAAACATATATTTTGTATTATTATAGTATATTATATTAATTATTTATTTTTGTGATCTTAAATAATCAGTATAATAATATTATTTTTTAATAAATTAATAATATTAGTTATCAACAACTGACAATCATAATGGATGTGAATAAATTTATGAATTAAACATATTTTTTTCATTCTTTTGATATTAACATTATTTCTTTAAAAACAATAATACGTACAAAAATGTGCATATAATAATTTACAATACGTCATATCAACAAAATTGAATCAGAATAATTATTTATTTTGGAAAATTTTTTTTTTATTCTTAATCAAGCCGACGTGTATATTTTAATACATGGTAAACTGTTAACAAACACCATAAAATGGAAATCCAACGAACGCAAAATGAAAATAATAATTGTATACTAATTACTAATTATTATAATAATTGGGATCAGAAACATAATTTGTACTAATCAGCTTTTTTTTTTTAATAATATATATTAGACTTATTCACACGTCACAGTTAGAATACATACATAAATGTACAAAAATAATTGTAAAAGTATAATATAATAAATTACAAGATATTTCAATTTTGTATAAATCGGATAAACTGAGAAATATATGAAATATGTGTTGCTACATTGGCTGTAATATAGTATATTATGCTGCAATTAAAATTAATAAATAATACAACTTTTTTAAATAATTATTTTTTTAGAATTATTATTAAAGTGTGGTCTGTAAAAAACCACCCTTTTAACGTATGTGCAATAAAAAAGTGTATAAAAAACTTGTATTACGCATATAAATTATCCATTGGGAAAAATACTGTTTTATTTTTATTTTAGACATGTATAAAACTATCTTCAGTTTTGTATTTTAAATGTCTGTTTGTTAAACAACTATATTATACTGACTAAAAAATTATTTTTATCGTTTTAAAGTTAGAAAAAAAATTGCTTAACAACTCAAATGGGTAATATATATATAAATGTATTCATGTATATAGATATACAAACGATTTTAATCGTTTAATAACGATGGAAAAAATGAAGTTTCTTTCAGTTATGTTAAATTTGATATGACTACAATTACTATAAACTCCAAATTTGTATTAGCTTTGCATGTGTACACGTAAAATTAAATAATAGTTTTAGTACCATGCTTGACTTTAAAATAATATTATATAGATTAGGATTAAATAAATATTCAAAAGTCTTACGTTTGGTCGTTGATTGGCGATTGCTCATAATTTTCACTTACATACTTTTTTTTAATTTTTATAAATCACTTTTATCTTTTATCTTTAGGTTCTGTGATTTAGTAGCTTTTATGCGATGCCTTTTCAGTAGCTACTCACCGAGTAAGTCAAGTGAAGCACAGTTCCATCTGTATAATAATTAAAATGGAAAGGTATTTTTTATTTTAATATTTCTTACATTTGAAAAATTATTTATTTCAATTTGAATGCTATATCACTTTTTAATATTTTTATTTTTTCAGTTATTGGTAGTTTGAATTACCTAATAAATTAATCCAGAAAATCATAAATTTAATAACACAGCAGCTTTGATTTTGTACAATTGAAATAAAAGAATTTTAAAGTAAAATTTAAACGTTTAGATTATCTGTACAAGATTTATAAGACTTTCCTGAACCAGAAAACGTATGATTAAAGGATATGGAAGAATAAACTATATTATGGTCTTTTTAAACTATGTTAAAATGTACTGTAATTTTTATATTCATTTCATCATATTTTAGATGAGTATATCTTGTAATTAGTTAATTTTTCATGAGAAATATATTTATTATTCTCGTATTATATTTTTAATCATATAATATAAGATAGTATTATATTATACAAAGGTGAGATATGTTTTAATTTATTCTTTAAGCTATAAAAGTTTTTATATTTGTTAGATATGTTTTATTTGATTCAATTGTATACAATTATAATACCTACTAGGATTAGAAAAATAATTTAATGGGTATTTTTATAGTGGTCGCTTATTAGTATAAAATATTATCCGAATTGACGATAATTATAATGGATGTATAATATATGAAAGTAGGTACACAATAGAACATCTAAAAAGAGTATGTTCACGAGCCACTGCAGTTCCTATATTGGTCGAGATAAAATTCAATGGTTTTCGATATAGGTTTCCTAACTAAATTTTTTAATTTTGGTCACGATAATTGTCTACAATAACTTAACGTGAACCGTATTCGTGAAGGCACAATACGACGTATGGGGACGTCTTTTGGGACATATTTCCCGAGGTGACGTGAATCGTGTGCAATCGGATAATGATATTGTGTTCCGTTTAATGTTACACTTCTTTTAAAAAATTTAAAATGGAATTTAATCAACCCTGATATTATATTACTAATACGATAAGTACCTAAACATAATTGGATTGTATAAGCACACGTATTCCGGGTAATATACTTTTGCATATTACATAATATTAAGGTGCAGCTTGCAATTTATTTCGTAGGAAGGTACAACAAATACTGTATCTGGTGGCTGCATATTGATAAGTATTATTATTATTATTATTATTACCTATACGAACACGGTCGGCCCTTGCGGATATCGCATATGGAAATATGGTTGCGCGGTTGCCGGGTGGTCGGAGGGGAGGTGGTAGGGTTACGTGCCTCGCCGCGGAATGTCTTACATATTTTTTTCCTTCCCGTCGCCAACCGGATGATGATTTATTTTCGTTCCCGAGGCGTTATTCTCCATCCAAACGACGTGTGATGGCGAAAGGTTGCGGTTTTATTTTTTATCAACTAAAAAGAGAACGAAATCTTTTTCTACGCCATATAATGCGTATAATACATATACATTACCGTATCGGGTAAAAATATTATTATCGATTTCCTCGTGAGCTACTGCTTCGCCATACACAGCTTCTATATGACACGAATCCACTTATTTTCATTCTCCGCGCGCCCAAATACAAGTTTCGCTTACATGTTTTTCACTCTTATTTTCTATATATTATATACATTACATTATACTGTTGAACTTTTGGGTGATGCTATATTATTATTATTTTTCCTTTGGGCCACGGATTGTATAATATTACAATTTACACTCGTACATACCACTTTTTCGTTACTTTGACGATGATTGGTTATAGTCTTATAATACGAGTCTGGTTTTTTTTTTTTAATTTTAAACAAACAATCTCATCAGCGTATGTAGTACACTGTACCTATTAATGTATAATATTATATTGAACTGTAATGGACAGATGATCATAAAATATAATAATATGCTATCTACGAATACGAATGGCTATTATATTCACTAATATGACCGATAAACGAAATTATATAATATATTCTGGGGTTGATAAAAAAAAAACAAAGAATTTGTTTAAATCACTAAACATGTTTTTAAAAAATAAAAATATTATTGAGTTCAAAACGAAATAATTATGTACAAAGATTAGCATTGGTATACCATAAAATTATAACAGGAAAAGAAACAAAAAAGTAAATACAATATATTATTAATAAAATAAAATGTACGAATTATGAACATAATAAATAATAATAATCTTTATAATTTTCTGAATAATTCCAATTTACATACATTTTATGAATAGATATAAATGCACTAATAAATAAATGGTTTTCCTGATAGAAATTAAAATTTAATAGTAGTGCAATATTAATAAATTTAGCACAGATGTAAACAACTAACAAATATACTATAAAGTACTTAAATTAATAAAACATGTGATCATACCTGTGTTCAAATCCTGTTATCTTATGAATATTTAATAATTGATTCCTATTTGATGTCATGAAATTAGAACACATAAGACTAGTTATAGACTGCGTAGTAATATAATATATTTACGTGAAATGTTATGACTTATTAAGTTAAATTTATATCAAAGATAAACAAAACATTAATTTAATATTGACAAATTATAACTGAATGTAGTAAAGTTAAAATAAAGCGTGATACATTTTCTATATGCATATTTAACAATAAGGTATTATCTATGATATGATTTTTAGTTTATTCATAAAAAAAATAGGACTAAATGGTATCAATTAGGCCAAAAATTTGTATTTTTTTACTATAAACAACTGAATTTTGTTTGATATTGTGATCATATGTTTTAAATAAAACCGCGGTAAATCGATTTAAGTTTTTGAATTTTAAATAAGCTAGTATTTCAAATTTTACATTATACATTTCATCCGCGAATAATATTTCGTCGAGTGAGCATGTTGTCGACACAAAAGTAGTATTTGTCAATTGTCACCTTCTGCTGTACGGTTTAGGTATTTTGCACATACAAATAAATAATATAATATTGCGACTGGTTGTATTTGCTACACGAAGTTCTTATAAAATATTCAAGTCAATGAAGTTCTTGAATTTTGCAGTAAGTCATCTTGGTGTAGTTGTTCCTCGCATAAAAGGTTCTCAGCTAGGTTTCGCATACATTTGAGGTTGTATGATAAATTATAACAACATATATTAATATTACATTATGACTTGTCCCGTATAATGAAATGTAGTTTGGTGTTGTACGTGTAAATGGACATGGGGCACGAGGCCAGACCCTTATGGGTTTATTTTATTGTATTTCCAGAAAAAACTTCAATATTTTAATGAGGATTATTTTAGTCACCAAAGCTACGTACCTCGTGCCATGGAAAAAACCTAGTCTACAAAGTCTAGAAGAAAAGGTAATAGATGCTCATAATGATATGTAGAGATGCCTTTCTGCGACTATTTAATCGTGAATATAGTGTTCGGTACAAAAATGCTCGAGTGTAGTAAATGGGCATCGTTTGCATCAAAGAAAGTACAACGGTATGGCTACCAGAGGGACGAAGGAGCCCACGTGCTTATGATAAAGACTCACTAGTCACGACTGTAGAATTCGCGGACGGACGTGTTCGGAAAGTGGCCAAATCTATCGGAAAAGTCTGGTGCAAAGTGGCAACGCAGTACTACAAAACCCGACAATATAGTTTACGGTATACTCGTGGGTTACCGCAATATTGCATCACGTTGGTCAGTCCAAGATGGACGTTTTCACAGCTTCCGTCGACGCAGTCCAAGTTTTCCTGCATTTCGTTTTCACTTTTCCCGTCAGCGAGTTCGTTTAGTGCTGTTATATTGTAGTGGATGTCGAATTTATTCCGACCACGAATCTATCAACAAACGTTTTCTCGTCACCGTCAGCGAGTGCGTGTAATGTACGACACCGTGCAATAGCAAAACGTGTCTTAATCACCTCTGGCCCAATGACATGTGCCGCCCATTTCCCGAGGATTAGGTAGGTACGTGCCAGAGAGCGATAGTCAGGGTGGGGATTGTACAAAGTAATCTATATTATTCACAGGTTTCTTGGAAGGAATATATTATCGTTTACCGAACGTTATTCAGAAATCAGAAATTATTGATTTTGCAAAGTATTTTTAACATTAGTATGGGGATATGTTTGGAAAATCCGAGAAAAACCTTTGAAAAATAATCATGTTACGAGCTGTATGACGACTTTTACAATATTACCATTTACCATTGATCGATATTTTTTAAGCATTATAATATAGACGGTTGGTTCTAAGCCAACGACAATGCGACATATTATTATCATATGCACATTTTGGTGTAATACTACTCTAATGCGCAGTACATAATACATATTAGTATATTACTGTAAAATAAACAGTAATTAACATGCAATAACATTTAGTTTGTTGCATGTCATTTAAATGTATTCCAAGAAAACTTCAAAGGGTATTTATTTCCGGTATAATTATTGCAGAAATTCATTCGTCCAAAGGCACGCAACCTGAATAACCCACAAACCGCTGTAAACTAGATAATTAATTTACAATGAACCTAATTAATAAAAAAATATTGTGTTTATATTAAGTAGGTATGTAGTAATGTAGTATAGATAACCACAGCCCCGTAGCCTAGATTTGTAAATTAAAATTTACATATGACTTACTTGTGGCTGGTTAACACACTCTCCGTTGTAATAATAATATGAAATAAAACCATACTATGAAACAATATTTGTATTTATTTTGGACAAGGCACTTGGTAAATATATTTGTTGTATACCTATAAACACGGTTTTATAACGAGGAAAGTGCAACCAAGTTATTGGTCCAAACCGGTGCTGTCCAACATAAGTCATTTTTTTTTCTCGATAGGCAACCCTCTTATACTGTCGCTGTAATGATGTTCATACGACATAATTCAGGATTCCAACGATAAATAATGACCGGAAAGGCTATGACATTTATATTTTTTTATACGGACGAGCAAAAACGGTAATATTTTAATAGTCATGGCCCGGTGGGACGTAAGAACCCACAGTGGGTGTGACATGTTGTTGAGATCGACTGTGAACTTCATGACCGTTGTCACTATACTTCCACGTTGTATGTGTATACCTATTCCTAATCTTTTTAGACGTGTAGGTATGTGCCATCAGTATAATATTATGATAAATAATAATATCATATTATTTTACTCAAGTTACCATTCATTGCGTTGATAGATCGTATTCGTCGAAACAATATTATGTGAGACCGTTGACCGATCAACATAACCACGTCGTGTGCAGAAATTAAATTAAAATATATTTTCCGTGTTCCAACGAAACATTTGTGGGGACACAGGGGAACGGGAGCGATGCACTGCCTCAAATCCAAAAACATAGAAGTAGATAATTATATTTATGATTGATGAGTGTGTAACGTAATATTATAATAGTCATAATATTTACAATTACAAATACGGTTTTTAATATTGTTACCCAGTGTTATTATGTTTGTAGTTACTAGTTAGGTACTTCTAATATTTACTGGCTTAAATGAAAAGTTCACTTACAGTTTTTCTACTTTTTTTTTTTAAATGGTTTGTTTGAAACTTTATTCGTTTACATTAATTAAATTCAAACCTATAGTATCCCGAATGTTAACCTTCCGGTTTTCTCCAAAAATACTCTGGATTAGCGTATTCTACTAAAACTCATCGTTTTGGCTCAAAAACATGCCGTGTTTATGCTCTTTGATTGGCGTGAGCAGTATTTTTTACTTGATATATATTTTGAAATGTGATTTTTCTCTCTTTAGCATTAACTGAACTTTGTAAATGCAAGTAAACTTTTCGAAAATGTAATATAACAAAAATTATGATAATAACAAAACAGAATAAGTTGATTTGAACAGTCAAATTACCACAAAAGTAATATACTAACAGAGAAAGGGGGGTATTAATGTAAATTTTAGCAACTCTGAATCTTAATTAACGTAGTTTCCCATTTTAACGTCAGACATATTAACAGTTAACACGTATAGGTAGGTACACTAAATTAGAATATAAAATAAAAACTAATTTAAAAAAATTATTATTTTGTTAGAAATTTAGCATATTATTTTTAATTTTATACTTAATATTGTTTCATTTCAAATAAAAATATAAAAACCAAATAAGTATAAAAACTGCATTCAACTAAAAATTATATTGTTATTATTTTAAAAGAAAACAATTTGCATATTATACTAAAATGAAACGTCTAATAATATAATTATATTGTGTGACATTACAATATAACTAAATAATATTACAATATTTTGATACTATTGGATATTAGTTATGCACTTAGGCATATCGCATATGCAACTGAGAAGGCATCTGACAATTACTGCAACGATTTATCTTTAGTTGTGAAATGAGATGTATCTGAACACTCTAAACGGAACCGTAAAATATAGACTTGCAAATGGTTTTTAAATTGTAAACTTATTTTTGTTTATTTTTTATTTTAGTTCAACAATATTATCGGTTTTTTGTTTATTAGAACATTTCGTCAACCCTTTTGGAATGTAATTTAACTAAAAAAACAAACATCTCTTCATCAGTATCAGTTCTTGGTCCTTCTAATGAATATACCTTCCCATCTCACCAATGCCGTTTAATACATTAATAACTCCATTTTACACACAGACCCTCATGCTATTACAAGAAAATAAAAATGATAAGAACACTTCAAACTATCCTAATTCATTTTCAAATCACTCACCATAACAATGTCATCGGCTTAAGCGATAATGTCATGGATAACATTTTTTTAACAAATTTTTTATTAAATCCTTTAACTTACTTAGATTGAAGTTAATACTTAATTGTTGTGCTTGCTGAACACTACAAAATATTGTATATTTATAATCAGTAATGTTCGTTGATGGGGTAAGTGTGTGTTGTGTGTATCATGTTGGTATCGAAGCATGTATCATTTTATGAATATTATTATTACCTACCTAGGCTAGGTATCTGTGTAAATTGGGTTATTCGTAAGTGTTGACTGTCGAAGTTCTTTAATAATAACATAGGATCATTAAACATGTTTGTAAAAAACACAAGGTGAATCTGTGCCAGCATATAAATATATATAAATAAACCAAAAATAATAGGGGAAAAAGGAAGACGACGTGAACAACTTTGAACATTTTTTATATTTACGAAGTTCGTGGCAAGAATTATTATTTTTATTATTATCATAATATTAATATATGCATACAACTCAGGCATAGACAAACAAAATAACGAGTAGGTTATTGATATTTTTTTGTTTAAAACTAATCCAAATATGAAATATTTTATTGAAAATAACGATTTTTATTTCTCCTTAAAGATTTTGTGTGTACTTATCCAACTATATATATATATATGAAAATACGTATACGTAGTAAAGCTACGAATAAATAGATTTAAAATGAAAAAGATTGCGTTGAACGATAATTTCAAGCCGGAAATATATTTATCGAGATTGTGTAAAATAACTTTTTCACGGAGTCGAATCAAGCGTCGAATAATAATGTTAGTTCGTATATTTTGATTTGTCTCTTAGGCAACAGCCGGCTTTTTTCTCAGTCACGTCTTCTCGTTTTGATTTCATATACAAAGATAGAAGCATATAGAGAAAGAGAGGGGTGTGAGAGAGAGAGGAGAGGTGAGAGAGAGAGGGGTAAGAGGGAGGGAGATCGAGTGAGGGGGTGAGGGTGAGAATGCTAAAATCAAAGGGATTGGGAAATATGGTGGCAAGGTCGGAAGGTTCAAGTGCTAATGATATTTAAACGTCAGGATCACGTCGGGGCTTCAAGTTTAGAGGCAATGCCATATAACTTTATTATAAGTTTATCCGGTGCGGATTTCTTCTTTTCAGCTGCGAGACGATTGTGTTAAGTGTGTCGCCAGAAGGTCTCATCTCCCCCCATAATATAGCCATCCCTTGTTATTGATTCTTGAACTTGCCCAAAAACTTGCTGAAGTTTAATAACTCATCAATCACGAGCGCATAAAATGTTGTCGGTAAGTCGCGGAAGAGGAGAAAATATTGTTCGTTGTGATACTAATAGGTGTGTGTGTGTGTGTGTGTGTGTGTGTGTTTATCGTGGAAGCGGTCGATCTTACGACAGCGCTTTGGAAATAAATTAGTTACTTTTGGTTTGAAAACATTCGGTTAGTTTGATATTTTTTTCTTGTTCACCCTGAAACTTGGCTTGAAAACGCTAAACCAACGAAAAACTCATTTGACTCGAGTGGAACGGGTTGAATAAATTATTTATTTAGGTACATCGAAACTGAAATACTAAATTTAGATGATAATATGTAATGGCACGATTATTTTTATAGCTCCCTCTTCTTTGGAATTTTTTTTAGTAGGTACACTACATTTTTAATGTCACACACATTTAGTCGGAAAACATCATTTTGCCATTTAGTTTAAATGCCTGTGTTTTTCCGTTAAGCGAGACCTAGTGTGTGCACGCGTGTGAGTGTATGATTATATATTACAAAACTTTTTTAATCACTAGATATGTATTTTTTTATCTTATGATTACATTTTTAATTTAAATGGGAAAATTAATGTAAAATATTTGTTGCGTATTATTTTATAAAAGTTTAATTTTAAACTAATTAGTATACATAAATAATTATCACGATATAATTAATTATTCAATACATTAATTTGGAATGAAAACAAAAGCCGTTTTGAAATATATAAGAAACGCATGGTACGTTATTAATATAATATTTAATATATATATATTATATTAATAACGTATCTATTCAAAAAAATTTTCCACTATAAAATATCT